CTTTAAAGTTAAAGATGAGTCACTTAGGCTTTGTATTATCAGAGTGACATATTTTCTCAGTGTGTTGAGGAAAACTAGTGACTGTCCTTTTGTTTACAAAGTTGTTGGCCTAATTTGGATGGTAAGATTCTCTCAAATCAGAGGGCTGTAACTAGAAGAACAGAGCCTCCCAGCAGTCTGTTGTTAAGTCCTGCCTGTAGAAAGGACAGACTAGTAGGAACCATTGAACCATACATGCAGCTACTCCCAGCGTTACTCCTATTAGTCTATACTCATGCACATTTCAGAAAAGAAACAGGTCATCAGTACTTAAGTGACTTGATCCTCAGTGAAGGGAAAGTTTCTCTGCCTGATATCAAGAAATTTTAAGAGAATTAACAAGAATCCCAATGGAAAGACTAGTGTTGGATAGAGGGCCCAGCAATATGATGTGATTTCATGCACAGGTGCTAAAAACATGGAGAAGTGAATGAAAGACTAGAGGGCAAGAGGCATAGCAGAAGTACGGGAGACTGAATTTGGGAGAAATGAGGACTCACCAAAACTAACTGGAGAGGGAGAAGGGAGTAGGGAAAGTTGGATAGGGAAGAACAATGCACATTTCTGTTCAAGATCTGAAATTCAGGACAGTGTACAGAAAGACAGATGGAAGGAGGAAGGGGAAAGAGAGAGGAAGAGAGAAAGACAGATGCAGGATGAAGGAGAGGGGGGAGGAGAAAAAGGGGGGATAGCAGGTGAAGGGAGTGAAGGACAAGAATGAAGTATATACCTTCACGTGTGGGTTTAGGCACCAAATGTAGTTTCAAAGATATGAAACCAGTACAGGTTATTTCCTGAGAAAAATGTCCATAGCGATCCTCAGACAAAACTACATCACTCTTGCTTATAGTCTATAACATTTGTAGTGAGTTTGAGTGTTAGAATTGTAATAAATGCTAGACTTGGGTAAGAAAAGCAAATAGTGATGAGATATAGATAATATGCAAAATAGGTTATAGCCAGAGAACAAAGATTACAACATATGAGGGGGATGATCAAAACCCTAGTCTGATTAAAGGACCTGTTGGTTCAGTGCCAACTACATGGGATTAGAGCTGGGTGAAGAAACAGATAGGACAGGAATATTTGTAAATCAAAGCATTTGTCTGGAGGCTCAAGATAGCATAAGACCTCAGTTATATGATAGAGCTATGTCCAGGAATGGGAATTTCTTATATACCAAGCAGGAATGTACAACCAAACCTGATACCCCAGGACCTTGACTAAAGACAGGAGAAACAAACAATGTTAAGCTTAATTGTTATCCAGTGACCTATTTTCTATGCAAGTGGTACAAAAGAAAAATTACTGCGCATTGTGACTGAAGTGGACCATAACTTTGCCACTTGCTGCTTTTCAATTCATTCATTTGATGGCATTTATTTGGGGAGAAAATCTAAAATTCAAGTACCAATAACCACAGAGCTTGCCTCATTCTTCCTGATTCACTTTAATCTCTGAATGCTTTGCTTCAAGCTCTTCTAAGAGCATTGAGAAGGAAAAGAGAGTTAAGAGGATATTATGTAATACAAAGTATAGTTTTAATAAAGTTTGAATCTACCCAATTTAGCTTTTTAGGAACAGTATTAAACGCACTGCTCTTTACATACAAGCATACTTAAAGAAAAGAAATTCACGTGTGAGTGGAGGTAGAGAACATCTGTGGATTAAAGGAATTCTGTATAAATGTAATAAATTAATATCATTAGGAATATGAAGACACACTTACTTAAATTGTTATACTTCCATCAACCAGTAAATGTGATAGCCAGAAGAAATCCTAGACTTTTTTTTAAAACTCCTGGGAAACAAACTACTAGATGAATATCACAAGAACCAGTGATAGAAACTAAAAGTTTGATTCTCTGAAAAGTTTTAAAGATCACAGGCACTATGGAAAGAGCAAAGGGGAAAATGAAGGGAAGAGTGCCACAAATAAAAAATGACAAAACAGCAGATGTGGCCTTGCACTGGAAGCTTTTAAAATAATTGATGAAATGTGTGGCTAATCTTAGAAAGATGAGTAGAATCCAGATTACATCATATTTTGTCTATGGTGAAATCCTAAGTAACTTTATGTGGACTACACAATCTTCTTAAAAATCTTCCTCTTGTTTTGAACAAGAATCAGTAGCTTTACTTACTCCCTAGATTATACAGTATTTTCTTACTGTTTAACTTACTTTCTCTGTTTAGCATGCAAGAGACTGAAAGAATACTAGTTGAAAATGTAAACTGCTTGCAAAATCTGGATAGCAGAGCAATCACAGGAGAGCTTCTATATTCCTCTGGATGGCTATTTCCTTCATTGATTTCATTGTCCCTCTACATGTATATCTTTCTTAGCAGAGCACAGTATCAATACTCAATCAATTACAAGAATAATATACAAATTTGAAAAATTAAAATATCCATTCTTCTTTGGTAAGTGATCCATGTAGTTAAAAAAATGGATACCTGAGAACTATATGTAGCTAGGATAAATGACTACACATTCCTATAAACAATGTGTATCACTGAGAACAGTCTTATGTTTGTATTTCTGTGATACAGGACTTGTGGTACTAAATAGAAGCCAGACTTTTAAGTAGACAAAAACAAAAACAAGTATATCCTAGCAACCATACACAAAGATCATTTTGAACAACCTAGGGCTCTGTCATGGAGTGTAAGCTTTTATATACCACAAGAAATATAAAAACCACCCCTCTGGGTAAAAAATTATATTCCAATGCCTTGTCTGAGTGTACAGTACTGTCTTGACATTGGTATTGGTCCATAGGATTTCTCCTTCAAGAGCTCAGGTCTTTGTAGTGGTGGCAACTGAAAAAGTACCCAGAAGAAAGATAAATCAGGGCTGGGAAGGTGGCTCAGTAGTACAGCGCCTGCCTTGCATCCATGAGGCCCTGGATTCGATTCCTAAGGACCACATAAGCAAAAAGAAAAAAACAAAACCAGAAGTGTTGCTGTGGCTCAAGTGATAGAGCACTAGCCTTGAGCTGAAGAGCTGAGGGACAGTGCCCAGGCCGAGTTCAGGCCCCACAACTGGACCCAAAAACATTTTTAAAAAAGATAAATTATTTTGTGCCAAATAGTGAATAATTTTTATTTTTAGTTGGTTTGGGGACTTGAACTCAAGGCCTGGGCACTGTCCCTGAGCTCTTTTGCTCAAGACTAGTACTCTACCACTTGGAGTTCCCCTTCATTTTCTGGTGGTTAATTGGAGATCAGAGTCTCACAGACTTTCATGCCCAGGCTGGCTTTGGATAGTAATTCTCAGATCTTTGCCCACTTGAATAATTAGGATTACAGGTTTAAGTTACCAGTACCCAGCTAAAATAGTGAATATTTACAGTGCAACAGAGAACAACAAATTATGTTCACCTTGCCAAGGGTGGTCACACACTTTACCTCTAGAGTTTGAGATCTAGGGGAAGTGATATAAAATTCAGCTTTGATAAAAAAAAAAAAGTTTTCCTGTGGTTGGTTTCTAAGTAACCAACCACAAAACAAAGCTTGATGCACACACAAGTGGAAGTATTAGTCTAGCAACTGGGATGCCCTAAGTTCAAGTAGTATCATATGTATTTAAGGACCTGAAAGTTGTCAAGTGACCTAAGTGGACATTACACAAGATTGTGGCTACAGAAAGATAATCATCATTCTACTTTCTGTAATACAACTTAGTTGTTTAAATGTTTTGAGTAGTATGAGCTTGTACAATCCCTATGTCAGCATTGCTATGTGAGTCCTTAAGACATCTGAATAACTTTTTTTTTTGATGTCCAACATTTTTTTTAATTTCATTTCATTTTATTTGTGAACATACTGTACAGAGGGGCAATTACATGGGCAGGATAATGCGTACATTTCTTACCAAGCATTGCAGCCTCCTCCTTTGTTTACCCTTCACCTCCCTTCCCAGCCTCCCCCCTCCCCCCCAATCCCAATCCTTCTCCTTCCCCCTCACCCCCTCCTCCCCCCGCACCAACGTTGTAAAGCTCCTTTTGGACATGACAACTTGTACTTCTCATTGTTGCAACACGTCCACCTGTATCCTTAAACAACTGTTTTTTCCCCATCTCCTCCACAAGTTATACTGACATCAAATATAGTGAAAGCAGGGGTTATACTGTGGGGGAGGGACATACAAAGCAACAAAGAGATAATCTTATAAATGCGTTAGAAACACATGCATGAAAGAAACAAAAACATTAAAATACATATCTAAGGGTTCATTTTCCTGACATCACATTATCTGACCTTTTCCGCTTGACTCATACATATACTAGATATTGCAAATAAGGGAAACCATGGGACCTATGTTTTTTTGGGCCTGGCTTACTTCACTTAATATAATTTTTTCCAAGCCTTTCCATTTCCTAACAAATGGGGCAATGTCATTCTTTCTGATGGAAGCATAGAATTCCATTGTGTATATATACCACATTTTCTTGATCTACTGAGGGGCATCTGGGTTGGTTCCATATCTTAGCTATGGTAAATAATGCTGCAATAAACATAGTTGTGCTGGTAGCATAACTTTTTGATATCTTATTTTATTTCCTATCTTATTTTACTTACATTTCTAATGGAAATATTGACACTTCAGAGAAGTCAGTTTGGAAGTTCACATTATATTCTCCAGAGATACTACTACCTATTTGATGGCAAAAAAGTCATCAGGAGATCATAAGAAAAGATGTTGGGGAAACAGATGGCAATTTGGGGTCAAAAGAAAAATGTCAGAAATGCCAATAGAAAAATCTTCCTTTCTATTGATTCGTCTAATTGAAATAGAGTATTTGTAGCTGTAGAACAAGCAGGTAAGCTCCTATTCATTGCAGAGCCATGATAAATGTCACTTACCTCTATGGATGGCAAGAGAAATAAATGCATTATGAACTAACACAAAAGTATACTCTCTTACACATCAAAGAGATACACAGATTTTGTGTCACCATTCTAAGGCTTTAACCTCATGCAAGCCTAGATGTTTTGGGCAGAGACATGCACACACTGCATTTTACACAAGTGTCCTATCCTAATAAACTAAGCCACTCTCATGAGTTTTTTAATATGCATTTTACACAAGTGTCCTATCCTAATAAATAAACTATGCCAATCTCATGAGTTTTTAATATATATTTTTATTGTAAAGGTACTGTACAGAGGGATTACAGTTACATGAGCAAGGAAATGAGTCCATTTCCTATCAAGCATTGTTACCCGCCTCCTTTTATTAAGTTTTTTTATTATGAAAATAAAGTACAGAGGTGTTACAATTACATGAGCAAGGTAATGAGTACATTTCTTATCAAGCATTGTTGCCTCCTCCTTTTTCCCTTACCATCCCTGCCCTCCCATCTCCAAGACTACACTCCCCCTGCCCCCCCACTCATCAACCCTCATGCCCCTCCCCTTGCCAAAGTTGTAAAGTTTGGTTTTCAACAGTGTCTTGTGTATCTCCTTATAATGGGTCATCCTGTATCCTTATTTCAGCATTTTGTTATTTCTATTTCTCTTTCCTTCCCAAATTAGAAAATTGTATATATAAGATGCAGGACACTGGAATAAAATACAGTGACAGGGGTTGTCACGAAGCCAGTTTACAGAATTTTTTTTGAATCTAACTGCTGTGTCTTTGGCTCCTGAAAACTTGGCTTTCAGGACATTGAGGAAACAGAAAAAGGGAGTACAGATGTACCAAGATAAAAGCAGAAATACACGGCTGTTTGTAAAACTTAAGATGAGGTGGATTAATAAATACTTGCTTAGGCAAATGCCCATTGAACTATGAGAAAAAATGCCCACCTTTCCATCAACAATGCTTATCTTAAGGACTCTCTTGTAGCTAAATACCTGTGCCACGCCTTCTCTTTACCAAAACCACTCACCATCTGAAGCTTCTTGATCATATAGTCATGAAGTACTCAAAGGCTACTCTTGGATGGCAATAGCCATGAACTAAGTTGAAGAGCAGTAAGCAACCAATGATCTAAGTGTTCTGTTCACAGAAACTACAAACAGAATTCTTCCATAAAATTATTCAATGTTTTTTCCATAAAGCAAGTTTGGGCCTCAATTCTTGCTACAAAATAAATTTCCTGATACTCTTGTCTTTTTCTGTCTTGTGTTTACACTAGATTATAGAGAGCCTTGATAACACAGGAAGAATTAAAAGATAAGAATTAGGCCTCAGGTAACATTTTAGAAAACAGAAATTATGATCTTCCTTCCACTAGCAATGCTATTAATAGCTTATCATTTTTGGAGCACCTGAAGGAATTCCATGATTGTAGTGTGACTTGGAAGTACCAGTTTTACTCAGGGTAGTTAGAAAACCAGTCGCATCTTATTATCTTATACACTGAAAACCCCAAGCTGTGTTTAACTCAGTACTAACTTAAAAGAATGAAGTGTACTGCATGTGTTGGGAATCAGAATACCTCAGAGTAAAATGATTAATATAGAATGAATCTAATATCCATGGCAAATTTTTCTTAAAACTGAAGAGTTACCTGTTGAGGAAATATATTTTTCCTTGCCAACTTTAACCCAGCAACCAACAGTAAGCATCATAAATGAGATATATCATACCTCCTGTTTTACCTTTCCATTTGTAAATGTTCCTACATTATTATCTGTGTGGAAACAATGGACAGGGGGTGCCTGTTTGTGGAGGACCAATGTGATACAAAAATTACTAAAGTCTCTTAACTTGTATCTATCATATGAGGTACTGTTCTGAAACCTAGGAACTGAAATCACAGTTGAGGCTTGTTATGAGTCCTACAGATATGCTTGGAAATGATGAGAGGGAGAGCTTGGCTTGCCTATGAATAAAATGGAAACAGAACTGAGATGAGTGAAAAGGTTCCTTATTATCATTTTACTTTTGTGCTCTGCTAGAACCCTGCATAGTACCTAGAGTACATGCAAGAGTACAATCCTTCTAACGCTGTGGAACTTACAACAACATACAAATCTGTCCAAAGAAACCTCTAATTTCAGTTGTAACTCTTGGGGTAATAATACAGATACTTAAATTCCAGGTCCTTTGTTGACCTATGAAAACAGACAACCCAGGTAAATTCTAAATATCATGCTGTGTTTCCAATATGATTTAAGCACTTGTCTTCTGCATGAGGTCCTCACCCTGGGAATTTCTTATTAGGGGTTTCCACAGATGTTAGCACTTTAAATTTGCTTGACTTATACACTACATAACAAATTTTACCTACACAACAAATTACAGTGAAAGACAAAATGGTTCATGCACATTTATTGCTTAATAGCAATGAAATATAAGATCTCTCATATTTTGCACCAGTGAATATATTTTCATCTTGTGGTTTCTGCGCCTGAGAACAACACAGAATCCTGATGACTCCACTGGAAAGCTGCTCCACTAGTATTCTTGAAAGCTAGCAAAAGAGGTTTCTTGATCCTCTTCATCTGTGAAACTGGTGTTTCTGAAAATAACATAAAAAATCCATACATAGTTTAATATAAACCTGGGCCATAAAGCTACCAAGCAAACTGGAATTTCTCAATGAAATCAATATTGACATAGTTCTCTATTGAATAACACTGACAAAACTCGTATTTTTCCCTGAGAAAAAATATAGTGAGACTCAGTATCTGAAATCTTCTCTAATAATAGTCTTCAGTGCCTCACACTAGGGATTAAATCCCTCCTGCTACTCCAAAAGGCTATGGAACTATATCCACACAGGACTCAAAGACATGGTATAGTCCTTGTAGCATGTGTAGACATGTAGCATGAAAGAGGACTCCAGGTGAGTCACAATTGAAAGGAGTTTTTTCAGTCCTGACATAAAAGCAAATTTCAAATAAGACTTATGTGACTCAAGGCAAAAAACCTTTGAGACTTCATCCCTGTTTCTTTGTCTTTGTCTAGTAACTGATCCCCAGAGAACTAAAAGAATTCTGTGTTCCTTTTATTTTGCTCTAGTTCCTGTCTCCACAAAGTATGAATAATTTGCATGCTAAGATTAGTCACTGAGATCCTAGCTGATATGGACATCCTAGGTATTACAGAATTTGGCCCCCTAGTCCTCCTTTCCTGGCTCACCTTGAATGCTCTTGGTACTGTCCCCTAGGATCATCCTCTGTACAGTAGTAGTGTAAAGGATTAAGCCATAGGTCCTCAATAATGATCTGGAATGGAAAAATGAGAAAGAAGACTGACTTTGAAACCCAGATCAGAGCCAGGTAACCCACAAAGGTCACACACTATGAAGTTAGGAAAAGACAAACCTCAGCAATCTTGTTGGAGCCTTGCCACTTACAGTTGCTCAACCAGTCAAAGAATGTCAAATTTTTGGAGTCTTGTGAACAGCTGGCAATGATCTCACCTACACATTCACCAAACCACTGCATTTCACTGGACGCACACTCCTCATATCCTATAGGATGAAGTAGCAGATGTCCAGACACTTCCAAGTCTGACAAAAGGAGAACCCCAAAATCAACAACCATAGAGACTTCATACCCATGATGCTGAGCTTGTACTCCTTTCTGATCACATGGTTGCGGAAGTAAGGGTTGTCACAAAAGTAAAATACCACGCTACGTAGGTCTTTGCCATGGTTCACTTCTTCCACCTGTGAATGCAGCAAAGTTGTCTCAAAGTATACCAATAGCTTATGCACTGATGCAAGCATATCCCACTCCCAGATTCCCAGTGAATATTTCTTACCTCTAAACTCAACATGTATTTGAGCAAGTCTTCATCTTGCTCAGAGATGATGGATGACATCTGTGGGTGACTCATTATCTGGCTTTTGTCAAGGGACAACACTTAGGCTGTCAAAGGAAGAACTAAAAGCAAACATCTAGTGTATAAAACTATGAATAAATGGGTCTGGGAACATCTGACAGTCAGACATCATTCTGTAATTTTAGTCTAGTGCTTTAGTTAGGGTTTTCCTCAGGTCTTGAGGATCTAGGGTTTGCAAAGCTCATGCTGTCTGCAGTGTCTTAAAATCAGTGCGTTGAACATCCTAGAATGTGGGTGCCTGTTTGAACTCATGGAAGTCTTTGGATTTGCTGTGTCTTTCTCTTACAATGGTCCTAAGAAAATTTTCTTGCCCCATCAAAAACTATTCCAACCAAATTCCCTCAGTGTAATGACTGCTTGATGACCTCCTTGGCCTTCTTCTAAGGTCACATCTTCACATTCTAGTTTCAACTTGTATGAATATCTGGGAATTCTTGATATATTACGTAGTTGTTTTATAGCAGCACATAGAAAGAAATGAGATATGTGAACATGAGACAAAACCTCAATGCACTACTGGACTCAAATATGGATGCTGAAAGGAGGAAAGGTTGCCCACTGGCCTTTATCTTCCATACCATTCCATGTTCGAGGATGACTATTATCAACTACTCTGGCAGAGAGGCAGAATGTTATGCTAGGTATATTAAATCATTATCTCCTTAGTTCTCTGTAAGTAGAATATGAAGGTCCTAAAAAGCCCTCTACAGTACTCTCTAAACCCTTTCTTCCCCTGAAAATGTTCCCAATGATTTAACTCCAAAACATCCCACCCCACTATAGGTTCGACATCTTACACCCTTCAACAAACCATAAAGGGATTATATTTATTAACTAGACTCTTATTAAAGGATACAGTTTTGGCCCAAAATCCAGGAATGGCCTGGATGATAGTCCTTCTGCGATCGAAATGGGATCTGCACTTCTCGGCTATCTTCTTCTTTAGGCGAGCAAACTCCCGGCTAGCTCTGGCATTCAGTGAGCTCAGCTGGGATTGAACATCCTGCAGCTCCTCCATTGGTGAACGGAGATTTGGGAAGCTCCTTGCTGCCTCTGCCGGCCAGGCCACCCCAGGTAGTTCTCTAGCAAAATTCTCTTCCTGCTGCTGCCCTTCCTCCACCTCAATCTGAACTCCCACTTCCTCCATAATATTCCACACCACCAACACCTCTCCCTCTTGCGGGGCCAAGAGCCCTAGATCTATCCAGGCCTCAATGTACTGCAGAGAGTCTGCAGCGGATATTGAGGCCACCTCAGTAGGGCCTTCGGACGCCGTCTGTAGGACGCAATCCTCCGAGTCAGACTGCCGTGGAGTTGGCTCGTTGGCCTGCGCCATTTCCAATTCTCCCTGTAGGACGCTATCTAGGTCCACTGAGTTATCGGGCTCTACTGGAGCCCCACCAGCCCCAAATTCCCCTCTACTCGCCATTTAGTTCTGGTGGTCCTCAGCAAATGCCGGTTCCTCAGGAACGCAACCGACCCGAACCTGAAGAACAAAGACGCTGGCGCCAACTAATCCCGCGGACGCCAACTAATCCCGTGGGTTCCAAATAATCCCGCGAGAACTCAACGGGAGCAGATCTACAGGCATTCGTCAATACACATTCTTTTTGTAGATGATGCGCATGCGCGGGATTTGGGCCTTCAGAAAGAGATTTGGCGCCAAACTACTTGGTCAGGTTTGCCTACTGTTTTTTTATGATCCCAGAAATAAGGACCACCAGAGGGCACCCTTATCACCACTTCTCCTACTTCCAAGAACCCAGCCAGAAGGAATACTTGCATACAGCCCTCGGTGTTTGGACTTTTGCATTGAGTACATGCAGCACTTCCTTACTGAAAGTACCTGTGGAAGGAAACACACCCCACTAGCCAGTTTTCTGATTTCTCTCTACCTCATCAGAGAATAGCACAGAACAACAAAATCCTCGGGGTTTCAGTCGCGAGGGCATGATTACTAGCTGACTCCAGAGATACATGATCCAAGCAAGATCCCAGCAGAGTCAGGGATTGTGTCTACACAGTGAATATGGTCCCTTTTCTCAATTAAATTACTTGGCTCCTTATGGAAGATTAAGCTTATTTCTCCAAGGAGATGGTGTAACTCCAGCTCTGAGGAATCAGATCGCTGGATTCTAGCTAACTCTAGGGACCTCTGGTGCAGAATGTTTGCTACATCTTGGTGATGCTACACAAATGCCTACGGGCAACTGCCTCCATACAGGCACCCCTTGCTCTTGTGTACGACAAAGTGAGGAACATGTAACTTTTGTGTTAACCACGGAAAGTATAGGGAGTTGGCGATAAGGCCTCTCTAAATTTGACTTGTGAGAACCCACGTGTATGTGGCTTTGTTCTGTTTTCTGCCTTTTTACTGAAATAGATTATATATCCTTAAGCCTGAAGCCTGAAAGAAGTAGCACCATTTATTTCACAAGCAAAAGGCTCCTGATCTCAGAACTGTAGTCTACTTAGAGGGTTCTGCAAGAAACCACTAGTTGTTTTGCTCAGTGGGTACCACCAAAATGTTCCATTTGCCTAGTATTCCAGGAAATAAGGCTAGATTTACTAACAATTCTCATTTTCATGCTGTATTCATGCTGTGCAAGAAAAGAAAAAAAAAAAAGGAAAAAGAAAACCTTTACACATTGCTTGCCAAAAAGGATGTGGTTTTGTCTTTAAAAGCTAAGTGAACTGTCTCGGGGCTTCATGATTTGGGAAACATGCCCCATGTAGTTACTGGCTTTTGCAACAAAGACTCCCATAATTTTAGCTTATTAATTGTGGCATCCTTTATTTTCTGGCTAGTTGGGTATTATAATATTTTTACTCAATCTGTCACAAGTAAAGAAAAACATTATACCAAGGGGGAGAGAGGGAAAGAAAAAAGGAGCCTAGAGAACAGGTATGATTCCTGTCTCTGAGAGATATTAATGACAAGATGGACAGAGGAAAACCCAGTGGTGAAGATATGGACTGAGCAGGTCACAGGGTAAGAAACAAGGAGAAATGTAGTAGTGGGACCATAAGGAAGGTTAGAGTGGGACAGAGTGTAGAAGAAAATAACCAGTCTACAAAAGTCACTAGCTGTATCTCCTAGGTGCCCCTTCATATCCTGGAACACTTGTGCATAGCTAGGGCCTCCAGAATTTATAAACCAAAAAGACAATAGAGATAATTAGGACTTCCAAGAATATGCTGGGAAAGAAGCAGCCACTGAAATGCTCAAAAGCATACTGTTTTTGAGACTATACAAAATAGTAAATGAGAATATTTGTTTAGTTTTTGTTGTTAGGATGTTGTGTGTGCTCTTGGAGGTATTCCATGGCTCTACATGCAACAATACTCTTCCTAATAACTGCCCTCTATCCTTACATTGTGTCTCCAAATACACTGAATGTTTGTGTTTCCTAAATGACAGTGCATTTATAGGCATTGGCATGATGATTTTGGGAAACAGAAGACTCGTGATACTCTTAATGGTGCGATGTAAAATCTATAACTTGTGCCAGAAGACCTTGTTTAGCCACAGGTGATGGTTTTGTGAGGCCTAGCTAATGGAGATGGAGTAGAAAGCCATGATTGAAAACTGAGAGAAGATCATCAAACCTGGTTAGTCTAGTCATATGTAGAGAGCCAAAGAACCCTTAACTCCCAGTCTCTACTGCTCATGTTTCCCGTCTGTGTAGACTAGGTGACCTATAAGCTCAGATTGCCCATTGAAAGGCTTACTCTGGGTGTTTACATAGAATGCTACAGGGAATCTTCTGAGATTCTGATTATTTTAGGATTGAAGCATAGATATCTCATAAATAAAAGAAGAATAATATATTAAGCACTGAAATCCTGTTATAACAACTGAAATTAATATACCTAAATAGAATGAAACCAATATGTGTCCCAAGTCACCTTTAGCAAGCACTAACTGTAAGTGATTATCTCAGTATATTCTTTGTATTTTATTATTTATATAAACTACACATGTTACTAATCTCTACTGGTTTTGATTCAGGACTTTCTGGCAACAAGTCCCAATCCTAGTTGTGGGCAATGAATGATATTCTTTTTCACAATTCTACCTGTCCTAATGCCTAAAAGTGTGAGGATGATTAGTCTTGTTTTCCAAGTAGGTAATTATTAGCTCCAGAAAACTTTAGTAACATATCTGATCTCAGTCTCTTTTGTAGAAGAGAGTTCATGTATTATTCAGACTTAGAAATGTTTAGTAATAGAACTTATTATCAGGAAGTAATATAGAAATAACACAAAAGTCAAGAATCATTAATAAATAGTGCAAATAATATACATTATATAACTTTTAAATGAATTCTCATTTCCAGGAACTATAAGCTGAAACAGAAAAAAAATACTGAAATATAACAATAAACATCATTTACCACAAATTATTTGTAGATAAGTTTGAGGAACATTAACAAAGTAAGTGAGTGTGGTTAAAATACATTATATGCAAAGATATGTTAACAGGATATCCTTGTATGGCTTTCTTTTTAACTGTATTTAAATCCAGTGATCAAATTTTTGTTGATGTCTAACAGTATGATTAACACAAAAATATAATTAAGCTTACCTGAGACAAAGTTTGAAACTCTCTTATTATATGAGTCCTGTTTGAATAAAATGAAGTATATGCAATTTCTCATGTAGAGAAAAATAGAGGTAAAAGTCTAACATTAAATGTGAATGAAATGTTTAACACCTATTTTACATGTTCAGAAGTGGTTATTCATGAGATCTTTAAAACAAACTCATTCTCTTTTTGTAATTTTAATTTAAAAATGAAATGTTTAAGGGATGGCATGGGGAAACAAAGGAGGAGGCAACAATGCTTGATAAGAAATGTACTCACTATCTTGCCCACGTAATTGTAACCCCTCTGTATGGTATTTTCACAATAATAAAAAAAATGAAATGTGTATTACTATCAAGTAACACAAAGACAGAATGGTATACAGGATTAATCTTATTAGAAAAATTGAGGAGATGAGAAGGTAAAATTTGTCATGTCACCAAGCAGTGCTCTGGAATGTTCTATTTGCCAGTGATGCTCATTAAATCCGACATAACCATCACTTTCAAAGATCCAAGTCTTTAAGCCAATATTTGAAAGCCTAGTACGTGGTTCAGAAAATTCTCAGCTTTAGCAGTTAGTAAAAGTTTCTTCTGACAGTCCCAGTAATCATGATACTTTAGGGGTCTCAAGATGAAGACTTTATTCAATACTTGTAGGTGCTGAGGTAAAATTTAACTACAAGTTTTGGCTTCTTGTCTAGCATTAAGAGAATTTAAATGGAAAACCTAGCTACTGTATTTTCCAACAAGTTGCCCTAGTGCCTGGCAGTTCCAGCATCAGCGTCCCCTGCGTGCCATCCACACCCCCACTTCCCGTCCCCAACCTCATTGAATTAGGCCATGCATACTTCTCCAAAGGGCCAAGGAGCCCCTTATGCCAGGGAAGGCATAAATGCTGTGCTAGAAGGAAGAGGAAGCCTGCTAGGAAGCAGGGGGTGTGTGATGTCAGACAGGGGGTAGGGGGGAGGAGAAGGAGGGGGAGGAGGGGGAAGGGGGAGGAGGGGGGCGGGTGGGGGGCGGCAGTGGCTGCAGCAGCTGCGGCGGCGGCGCGAAAGGAGGAGGGGGAAAAGAGGAGGGGAAAATGGCAAGGAGCGGAGAGCTTCTTCCTTCTGAAGCCTTGATGACACTGGGTGGATTGTCTAGTGTTCCAACCAAGTGCTGCAGCAGACTTTACACACCACAACCTGGCTCCCAGCGCGCATTCCCAGGACCTCTGGCAGCTCTGTGGGCTAAGGAAGGGCCCCTAGAGGAGCTGCTGCTGCTGCTGTGGCCTGTGTCTGCTGAGCTAAGGCGGGACCTGGTTGGCTCTGGGTCTGCACTGTGTTCTGAGCTGTGCTTTCTGGACTAGGGCCATATTGGGGACTGGACAGAGCCTACTTCAGGGTGGGCCTGGCCTCAGGCCCCAATATGCTTTCCACTCTGACCTTCCAACCTGGCCTTGATGGACCTCCTGCAGCTGGCAAGCAAGTTATCTGGCAGTCTTTCTCTGAGCTGCCAAGTCCACCTACAACAGCGACGGTGGTTAGAGGCAGAAACTTGCACTAGAGGACAACCAGCCACCAGCTCCTGCAGTAGCAGCATCAGATGAGCAGGAAACCTCATGGAGAAGCCTGTGAGCTGACTGCGTTGGTACAGGCTTCATAAGGCCACCCCTGCGGCCCCTACCTGACCTAATGCTTGAGCTCCTTCCTGCCAGGAAGCCCCATCTAACCTGCAGTGTCCAGGACCAAGGGGCAGCTCAGGGGCGGCCTTCTTATTCCAGTCAGGGTGACCACGGCTCTAGCCACTCACTGGTGAGAAAGAGGTTCTCTCCAGGACTGCAGCTGGAGGAGAATGTGT